TCTCTCTGGCAAGATGTTCTGCTCCTGAATCAGCTGGGTGGGTCTTGCCTCTAGCCTCTTTGCAGGGAGTTCTGCTGAAGGGTTCCCTGCTGGACCTGCAGCCTGGGTTGAATGAGGATCCGCGGGCTCCAGGTCATCTCACTCACTCCCCGGGCCTGCGCTCTGGGTCTGTTCAGGATCCCGCGGGCCCCAGCTCGTCTCACTCATTCGCCGGGCCTGCGCTCTGGGTCTAAGGATAGCATTTAAATGTTAGACTCTTCAAGTTTTCTAGGTGATCAACATCTGTTCTTTGTTTTGGTTTTGGTTTTCCCCTTGGTGGCAGTACAAGAGATTAAATCCAGGGCTTTCACACTGAGCTATACTTCTATCCCTTTTTATTTTTGATTTTAGGATATGACCTGGCTAAGTAGCTAGATTATTTTAGCAGGTTGGAGTTGGGTTCGCTTACCTCAGCCTTCCAGAGCGCTGGCATTACAGCTGTGTGCCTCCACTCCTGGCAGCTGGTGCGCAGATGAAGAAAGTGATTCAAGAATTTTTTTGTTTAAGCAGATACTGCCTGGTGGTGGCTCAGTGAATTTTGCCTTGATGTATAATGCCAAGTAAAATTGCCTTTGGAAATGTTATCTTCCAAAGTTGGTCCATATTTTCCTGTGGAATAGGTACCTGATAGGTTTGTTGGGGAAATCTGGAGGCTGTGTTTGGGTTGGAGTTAACAGATCAGTGAGGAATCTGCCTTAATTCGCCTCAGTGATTGCTGGCTGTAGTGTGCACTTAGGTGTCGCAAGAATAACAGGCAGATTCTTGAGTTTGTGATGCATTCTGTCATCTTCCTATCCCCTGCCCCCGTATTCATTTGGATGGCCCTTTGGGGAATAAAATGAGCCAGCACAGTATCTGCCTTCGGGGCCTCTGCCCCAGTCCAGAAGAGGCGCAAAATAGACCATTCCAATACATGCTTAAGTATCAATGAACTGTTACAGAGTTACATTTCAACACAATCTGACAAGCTAAAATGAAACTTGAGAACCTTATACAAGCAGTTGCTTCTTCTCCATTGGTGAACCTTCCTTTTAGTATGTACAGGGCCCCTGGTTTGATGCCCAGCTCAGAAAGTCTATGCTTTAATTTTTTTTTTTTTTTTTTTCCTGTCTGAATGGTTCCAGATTTTGTGTATTTAGGTTACCGGCTGAATAGCTAAAGCAAGGTAGCTAGCTCTGTGTGGAGCAGAGCGCTGTGCTAATGTTGGAGAGGAGGCTGTCTGGTGCTGTGACTGTGAGTGGCTGCCTGTGTGCAGCTGCTGTGGAGGGTACTTCCCGTTTGTTCCCCTCTGTCCCATAAAAATGTCCTTGCTGATTGGACTATGTTTTAGCCCTAGTTGACTAGGATGGTCATTTCAGCTCTATCAAAATGACTTTGTCATGTTGGCTTTGTGTACTTAGAAAGATGTAAGTGCTGGAGGTTCACTGGGGACAGTGCCTATGAAAAATGAGGGGAAAAAGGCTTTCAGATCCTGATGCGAAGCTGCGCCTCCCGTGCTCTTGCTGCTTTGGTTTTCCTTGTTTGTTGTCTGAAAAACTTGACATAAGCAGTTGTTTTAGAGCCAAGGTTGCCAGCAACACATTCATTTGAAAATGCTTTGTTTTCCTTCATCAAGGATTGTAGTAATTTCATCTTCATTCCCTGTGGATATTTGTGCTGGGTATAGACTTTCAGGGATAGTGTTCTTTTTTTTTAAACTCGAATGTCGCACCACTTCTTTCTGGACCCCCATGGTTGTGTTTTGGAGCTTTCTGGACCCCATGCAGTTATTGGAGCTGCTTTCTCTGGCTGCTTTTAAAGGGTTTTTTGTTTGTTTGTTTTTAGGTTTCAGCTATTTGACTGTGAAGTGTTTGAGTAGGATTTTTTTCTACCTGAAGTGTTTGGGTAGGATTTTTTGGAGCACACAGCTGTCTGGCTAGCCCTACACTGAGTTTCTTGAGTCTGTAGGTTTTTATTACTGGGCAACTTAGAAGGTATTATTCAGATATTTTAACTAAGCTGCATTCTTTCTCATTTGCTTTTCTGATGATGTAAATGTTAGAGCCTTTGTTTTCCTACAGGTTGTTGAGGCTGTGCTCGTTAAGACCTTTTTCCTGTTGTTTAGATGGTTCTTCACTGACTTTTTACACTGCCACTTTTATTCTCCTTTTCTGAGCCCATCCAAGGAAATTTTAGTTACTGTGTCTTCTAAATATTTGCTCGTAAGCCTATGTTGTTTCAAGAATGTGTGTTTGCCTTTATTCTTGGGTACTCTGAAGTCTTTGTATGATTCCAACATTTTGTCATTTTGGTCTGAGATTGCATTTTGCTCCTTCTCATTGTCACTTTGTATAGCACTGTCCTCTGATCTTTGTTGTAGAGCTTTTGTGCAGTTATAACCTTAGCACCTACTGAAGTTCAGGTGCAGATCTACAAAGTTTGGATTTATCCAGTTGTGCCTGGCTTGGATCTGGCTGCTATGCTCAGCTCCTTCCTGATGCTGCCCTTGGGGGTAAACCTGTTGTTCCCCTCCTGGACCAGCTGGGTGGTTCTGTCCCCTACTCTCTGCAGGGACTACAGCTGCAGGGTTTCACGCCAGGCCTGAGCTGAGTCTGGAGGGGACAAGGTGGAGTAGGGGGGAGAAGAAGCTGTTTCACACACTCACCGGGTCTGGGCTAGGGCTGGATCTGGGGGTCCCGAGAATACAGCAGAAGTTCTCACTCACTGGGCGGGAGTGGAGAGGACTGTGGAGTGGTGGTGGGAGTACCAAGGGGATGGAAGAGGGTCTCACCAACACTGCACCTGGGCTTGGACCACACAGGTCCCATGGGTGCAGGGTAGCCGGAAGCTCTCCCACATACTCGCTGGGTCTAGGCTAGGGCTGGATCTGGGGGTCCGAGAATGCGGCAGAAGTTCTCATTCGGCGGGCGGGGCTGGGATTGGTGTGGAGTGGGGGGGGTCCTAAGGGAGTGGAAGAGGGTCCATGCTGCTCCTGGGCTTGGACCGCACAGGTCCCACCAGCGCAGGGTAGCCACCATTGTGTCATTTTGGTGTCTGTGTGTGTTGATCATCTTTTGGGTTCTTTGTATGCCAAATATTTTTCTTTGTACCTTCAACATTTTGATGTTTTGTATTGTTGAGACAGGGACTCACTATGTAGTCCAGGCTGGCCTCAAACTTATGGCAATCCTCCTGCCTCAGCCTCCTGAGTACTGGATTATAGGCGTGCACTACCATGCCAAGCACAATTTAGAATGTCATATTTCAATGCTTTTCATCTGTTTAAGTTGACATGATTGGTTTCACATCACAAGCACCAACTGGTCTTTTTAGGTTGTTGTTTCAGTGACATTTTCATCTTGTGTATGCCATACCATAGCAGTCTACCTGAGTTCTGTTTAGTTTCCAAGTCTGTGGAATGCTGTTGGAGTCAGCCCTGTGTGAACATAGCTTGGGACACACAGGAGCACATGAAATGCTTTTGCGTCATCTAGCAAGCCCCTCTTCTCTCTCCACTCTGCCCGCTATACTGAAGTTGTTGGGACAAATCCTGGCTTATTTAGCAATCTCCCATCCAAGGGCATATGTGATTTCTCCTCACCACAGACTGGTGTTCTCAGTCCTTCTACAGCTCATCACTGTGTAATTCTGAAAATATTGCTGCAGTATGATTCCTAGAAATTAGTTTACTTATCTGATGTCATTTTCACAGGAGTTACTATTGGATCTGTATATTTTTCCTAAGTGCTCTGTAAAGCCTGTGGCGGTACCACTGAGAATATGCCTGATCTTATCTAAATGTGTTATAAAAATACGCCTTTTTTTGAGCACTAGTCCTTGCAGAGTGCACAAAGAAGCAACTGGAAGATTCCTCTGTGATAGTTTTGATCAATTGGGTGCTTTACCGCGAGGATCTCAGTGAAATAAATGTAGACCATTCCTTCCATTGGATGGGATAAAAAAAATACCAACTGTTCATGATGCCTTTTTTCTTTTTCAGAATTTTGATTCTGACATCAGCAGTGTGGGAATAGACGGCTGCTGGCAGGCAGACAGCCAGCGGCTTCTCAATGAGGTGATGGTGGAGCACTTCTTTCGACAGGGAATGCTGGATGTAGCCGAGGAACTCTGCCAGGTACCAGGGCCACAGGGGGAGGGTGTGGAGAAGAAGCGGGGCCTGGGTGGGAGAGCACTTGCTCAGTGTGTGTGAGCCCTGCTGCCTGCCACCCCCGGTGCCGTGGACAGCAGACGCACGACGGGAGCAGCACCAAACGGAGGGGGAGAAGGAAAAGGTGTTCAGATTATTTACAGAGTGGAGTGAGCCTTTGACAGATTTTCTTTTGTTACTATTTTGGTAACAAAAATTAAACTCAGGGCCTTGTGCTCACCGGTCAGGTGCTACACCATTGAGCTATGTCCTCGGCCCTGCAGGTAGATTTTTAATATTTTAATTATTAGGAATTACTACGTTTTTTTTTTTTTTTTTTTTAGTTACCAGGTTTTTTTGTTTTGTTTTTTTCCTTAAATGCTGAAATCGTGGGCCTAAAACTTTATGTGAGTTGGTCTTTATTTCTGGCCTGGTAAGCTAGTAATGATTCAGAGGGATCAAAAGTGGTATTACTTCCTCTTTTGAGAGAAGGTTGCTCCAGCAGAGATAAGGAAAGCGACAAAAAAAATTAGTGTTTGTTCTTCTGATTTAACCCAGTTTAAAGAAACTTGCCAAATGAATTTCAGAGTGAAATTTATATTAGGTGAGGAGAGCTTCTTTATTTCTACTAGCGACAAGCTCAGGGATCTCAAAACAGTTGACCAGTGTCCTGCAGTCCTAATGGCAGCGGCTGCATATTGAGTATTTACCTCAAGTGAAACCCAGCTTTAGTCCTCACTGCAACCTCATCAAGTAGAAGGTATCCCCATCAGCACAGGAGAAATCTGAGGCCGGGAGAAATAGCCCAAGGCCGTGCAGGCTCTTCACGACGGAGCTGGGATTCAGTCCCCTGTTCATGTCTCCGGACTGTTCTGTTGGAAACTGTTGAAGTAAGTTATAAGTCAGGCCTTTCTCTGTAACCTATAGGAATTGTGTGTGTGTCCACATGCATTTTTTTTTTTTTTACACTAAATTAGTAGCAAAGGTCTAGATAATGATGACTTAGACCAAAATGAAGTTTTTCACACCCAGAAGTAGAAGGTAGTGAGCGCCCACAGAAAATATGAGAGCTATGTTTGATGTAGCTCTATCAATAAATATTCCATGTAGCTCTGCTATCTTTGGCCCTTGTGTTCTAGAAGGGACAGTGTGTGCATGTTTATACTTCACTGGCCAAGATTTACATCTTGAAAAGCATTACTCAGCTTTATTCCACAGTCCTGTACCCAGCTAAGGTTTAGGGGTTCTAGTACTGTAGTGGGAGTGGGGGTAGGCAGTTACTGGTCTCCACCACAGGAGCATCTGTTAATAAATTGTGATGGCTTGCTCCAAATTTATAATCTAGAGGGTTTTTGTTTTTTTTTTAACCGCTGTGCCTTTGTTTTGGTTACTTATTGCTAACAAAAGTTCTTTCTGCTTTTTCAGGAATCTGGTCTTTCTGTAGACCCGAGTCAGAAGGAGCCATTTGTGGAGTTAAATCGAATATTAGAAGCATTAAAAGTCAGAGTTCTGAGACCTGCTCTGGAGTGAGTTACTGAGTTTTTCTGTTGGCTACTTATGCGAGAACTGTCTGTAAGAAAACTCACTTAGAAAACACATTAGAGATTTTTTAGATGTGTTTATCTTACCTTTGATTTAGAGAAGTCACAGGAGGATTATTTTCTTTTAGTCAAGTGAAATAGGGGAAGTGCAATATGAGAAAATTCTGTGGCTTATTTAACTTACCAGTTGGTCTGAGTTCTCATGAGAGGAAAGGGTTTCCAACGACCCTGCTCTCCACCGCTTTCTGTACCTACCGCTGTAATAGGCAGGGTTGCCAGGCGCTGTTTCTCTGATAACTGGCGCTTCCATGATGTGCCAGCATTCGAAAACATGATTGCGCTGGTTGTGTTAACTCCAAGCTGTGCGTGAGGACTGCGAGTGCACTCTGAGCCCCCGAGACAAATTATCTGAAATTATTGGGTAGACTCTAATAAAAGTATCCTAGACAAAGTCAGCAAATTTTTTCATAAAGGACCAAATAATAAATATCTGAAGGGCCAGTGAGGTAGCTCAGCGGACTAAGTGCCTGCTTAGGTAAGTGCAGGGACGCAGGTTTGATCCCTGGTACTACATGCTGTGCTGGCCCTGTGTCCAGGCGTGCTGAGCCAGCCACCAAGACTTGGCGTGGTGGCGCGTGCCTATAATCCCAGTGCTGGGGAGGCTAAAAACAGAAGGATCATTTCGAGTCCGAACTGCATAGTGAGACCCTGTACCAAATACATAAAAATTAAAAAAA